AATTAAGGAAACACTCCCATTTACCACTGCAACAAAAGAATAAAATACCTAGGAATAAACCTATCGAAGGAGACAAAAGACCTGTATGCAGAAAACTATAAGACATTAATGAAAGAAATTAAAGATGATACCAACAGATGGAAAGATATAGCATGTTCTTGGACTGGAAGAATCAACATTGTGAAAATGACTATACTACTCAAAGCAATCTACAGATTCAATGCAATCCCTATCAAACTACCAAATGCATTTCTCACAGAAGTAGAACAAAAAATTTCACAATCTGTATGGAAACACAAAAGACACCGAACAGCCAAAGCAATCTTGAGAAATAAAAACAGAGCTGGAGGAATCAGGCTCCCTGACTTCAGACTATACTACAAAGCTACAGTAATCAAGACAGTATGGTACTGGCACAAAAGCAGAAATATAGATCAATGGAAAAGGATAGAAAGCCCAGAGATAAACCCATGCACATATGGTCACCTTATCTTTGATAAAGGAGGCAAGAATATACAGTGGAGAAAAGACAGCCTCTTAAATAAGTGGTGCTGGGAAAACTGGACAGCTACGAGTAAAAGAATGAAATTAGAACACTTCCTAACACCATACACAAAAATAAATTCAAAATGGATTAAAGACCTAAATGTAAGGCCTGACACTATAAAACTCTTAGAGGAAAACATAGGAAGAACACTCTTTGACATAAATCACAGCAAGATCCTTTTTGATCCATCTCCTAGAGAAATGGAAATAAAATCAAAAATAAACAGATGGGACTTAATGAAACTTCAAAGCTTTTGCACAGCAAAGGAAACCATAAACAAGACGAAAAGTCAACCCTCAGAATGGGAGAAAATATTTGCAAACAAAGAAACTGACAAAGGATTAATCTCCAAAATAGACAAGCAGCTCATGCAACTCAATATAAAAAAAAAAAAACAACCCAATCCAAAAATGGGCTGAAGACCTAAACAGACAGTTCTCCAAAGAAGATATACAGATTGCCAACAAACACATGAAAGAATGCTCAACATCATTAATCATTAGAGAAATGCAAATCAAAACTACAATGAGATATCACCTCACACCAGTCAGAATGGCCGTCATCAAAAAGTCTACAAACAGGGCTTCCCTGGTGGCGCAGTGGCTGAGAGTCCGCCTGCCGATGCAGGGGACACGGGTTTGTGCCACGGTCCGGGAAGATCCCACATGCCGCGGAGCGGCTGGGCCCGGGAGCCATGGCCGCTGAACCTGAGTGTCCGGATCCTGTGCTCCACAACGGGAGAGGCCACAACAGTGAGAGGCCCGCGTACCGCAAAACAGAAAAAAACAAAACAAACAAACAAAAAAAATCTACAAATAGTAAATGCTGGAGAGGGTGTGGAGAAAAGAGAACCCTCCTGCACTGTTGGTGGGAATGTCAATTGATACAGCCACTACGGAGAACAGTATGGAGGTTCCTTACGAAACTAAAACTAGAACTACTATATGACCCAGCAATCCCACTACTGGGCATATACCCTCAGAAAACCGTAATTCAAAAAAAGACATGTACCACAATGTTCATTGCAGCTCTATTTACAATACCCAGGACATGGAAGCAAACTAAGTGTCCATCAACAGATGAATGGATAAAGAAGATGTGGCACATATATACAACGGAATATTACTCAGCCATAAAAAGAAACGAAATTGAGTTATTTGTAGTGAGATGCATGGACCTAGAGTCTGTCATACAGAGTGAAGTAAGTCAGAAAGAGAAAAATACCGTATGCTAATATGTATATAGAATCTAATAAATAAATAAATAAATAGTTCTGAAGAACCTAGGGGCAGGACAGGAATAAAGATGCAGACGTAGAGAATGGGGAGGTGGAAGGGTAAGCTGGGACGAAGTGAGAGAGTGGCATGGACATATATACACTACCAAATGTAAAATAGATAGCTAGTGGGAAGCAGCCGCGTAGCACAGGGAGATCAGCTCGGTGCTTTGTGACCACCTAGGGGAGTGGGATAGGGAGGGTGGGAGGGAGGGAGACACTAGAGGGAGGAGATATGGGGTTAGATGTATACATACAGCTGATTCATTTTGTTATACAGCAGAAACTAACACACCGTTGTAAAGTAATTATACACTAAGAAAGATGTTTAAAAAAAACATGCAGTTCAATCTGATTCTTGATTTTCATAAAGTTCATTTCCACCTAAATTTATCTAGGAGAACATTCATTTTCACATAATAAAAAAGCCCAAGAGCAATAATAAATTTGGTAAGACAAGCCATTTTCAATAAAAGCCACATAGAACACAGCTAAAGAGAGAAGAAGGGGACACACACACACACACACACACACACACACACACACACACATCTCTAAAAAGAAAATATATTTAGAGAATTCTTCTTCAACTGCTATGGTACCCAATTTAGATGCAGTTTATAGCCAACCAGAAGAACTATCAGTGAGCAGTAAGACACAACAGTAAGCAGTCAGAAACATCAGTTAGCAATAAGACACCAGAGTAAGCAGTAAAGTCACACCAGGGAGAACATTTCTTAGCAATTACCACATGTCTTAATGCAGAAAGGAAGAAAGAAAAACTTCACTCAACTAGGATTGGAACCCTATTAAAACGACCTCTCTCACAGCTCAAGAGCCACTCCTGCTATGACAGGAGGGGTGTGAGGACTGCCAGCACAGCCATGGATCAGGAAAAGGACAAAAAAAAGCCATAAAGGGTTGACCATGAGCTAGGACTAGGAACTTAAGTGCTTGTCCTTCTTTTTGGCACCCTAAGCTATAGACCTGGCAAATAAAAAAAAACATATGTGGGTTATTTGACAAGATATAAAGGACCCTCCAACCTCTGGGGGAAATAAAGGAGGATGCCCGCATTCTTCATTCCACATCTATAGCCACTGTGGCTAACGCAGTGTCTGGGCAGGGAATGCATATGCACCCACACGCACAGAGGGACAAGTTTTTTGTTTTCTAACACACAGGTCAGCCAAAGAAACAGAGCCTCAGTCATAAAGAACTTCCTTATTAGACAGGATATTAAATAGTCCAAGAAACTGGCAGCTCTTTGGGGAACATCTAAGAAAATGGTTGCACATTTTTTCTAGGCTCACCCGTTTGGGATGATTTTATAAGTGGAAGCAAGAAAGAAGGAGCAAACACAATGTCTTCTCTACTTGGCACGAGGAGGTCTTCAGCTGAGCTCAGCAACAAAGCCTCACCCCATCCCAAATGCTTAAAGTCACAAAACCTGTGTGAAACCACGTCTCTGAGATGCTGAGAAGAGTAAATAAAATCACGTGCCTCCAAGGCTCTGGAACTGTACTGGTATTTACTGAGTGGTTGCTAGTTGGAAGGAAGGAGAGGAAACTAACAACTTTTTATCTGTGTCACAATCCATTTCTAGCCTGTCTCTTTCTCAATCGCCTCAATCCTACCCACCTTCAAAGTTTACCTTCTGACTATGTCAGAAGCCTTCCACAGTCACCCCTGCTTAGAGCGACCATAATTGGTGTTATTCTAAGCATGTGTATTATTTTACTAATTGGCCAAGTAAAACTCCCGAAGGGATGGAGTGTGTCACACACGAGAGACGCAAACGAGTAAGAATGAGGTTAATTATCAAAGGCATAACTTTAACTTTGCTCCCTTTTTCCCAAAAGGAAACAAAATAAAATACTCTGGTTCTATAAATATCAGTAAAAACACAGTGGCACCTCTAAAGGAGGCCTAGTCAGAGCCAATGACTTTCAGGATGTGCTCGGAAATATATGTTAGCCAAGTAAACTAGCTCCATACACAGGGCTGGGATCCCACTTGAAATAAGTAGCCACCACCTGCCTTCCATTTCATTCCACAGTTTTGTACCCTGAGACTTGGAGCTCAGGCACCAAGTCTCCCTGTGAGCCTGGCACACAAACCAGACAGTCAGAGGCAGCTAGATCCCTTATCAGGAAGAGAATGACAGCAGACATGTTGACACAGGCCCTACAGGACAGAGGCGCTGGGAGGCAGCAGTGTTAGAGGCAGAGCAATCTTTACCAACCACCCCCCCCATATAGGGTCCTGCAGAGCTGCCATGAAATCAGACAGGACCTTCTCAACAGCATCTCCTACTGGGAACAGGGGTGGAGGAGTGGAGGCTGGAGAGGCATGGGTTCCATTTATTAATCAGTAGCTCAACACAGTGGGAGGTTTTCTTGTCTAATTACAGAAGCTGTTGGAAACTGCAAGGGAAGACAGGATTTATGGCCTAGATGACACTGCCTCTGTGTTGTAATTAAAAGTTATTTTTAATACCTGTTTGGTGGAATACTTTGGATTATTAAAAATATATTTTGCAATTTAAAACTTGCTAAAGGGCAAAGAACACAGCAGAAACGTAATACAACAAGCTTGCCTGATGTGAAACAATTAAACGTTTTGACACTGGGAGGTGGGAAAGGAAAAGAATCTCTCTCCTACTTAAGGCTGTGAATTTCCTATAAGAAAGAGGGAAAGAAAAGCCAAAAAGGGCACTCAAGGGCTTCCCTGGTGGCGCAGTGGTTGAGAGTCCGCCTGCCGATGCAGGGGACACAGTGCCCCGGTCCGGGAGGATCCCACATGCCGCGGAGCGGCTGGGCCCGTGAGCCATGGCCGCTGAGCCTGCGCGTCCGGAGCCTGTGCTCCGCAGAGGAAGAGGCCACAACAGTGAGAGGCCCACGTACCGCAAAAAAAAAAAAAAAAAAAAAAAAAGTAATTCCAGGAGCCCATTATGGGAAATATGCCATGGAGACCACCAGATATTACACATCATGAAGAGACTATAAAAGCATTTGAACGTGTTATTCAAAAATAAATTAAAAATGAGCTTTACAGGGGCCACACCAAGTTTATGGGATTTATATTATGCCAATGAGAACACTGTGCTCCTGTATTCTCTTCCGAGTTCGAAGCAGGCTTTGACTTCATGTCAGGGCATAGAAGTGCAGTCCTTACCTGCCACATTAATTTTCTCAAGTGCTACCAAGCTGGGAACAGCTGTGGTGGAGTTGGTCAAGTTCGTCCCTGTGCCATTGATGACGAGGTTGTCCACCTTTGACTCTAACTTGCCAATGCGCTGCAAAATGTTATCCAACAACACAGCAAGAGTCTTCTTCAAATCTGTAAAAGAAAACGTACATAGTTTGAAAATCCTTTGGTCCCCACACATTTGCCTGGTGCGCACACGCTCACCCTCCCTTTGTTTCTCTCTCTGACATGAAGAACAAAAGGCGGCAAATCAAAAAGTACCACTTGAAGACCTGTCCTAACCAACCACCTCTTAAAGATGACGGAGGCCACATTCAAGTGGCCCAAAAAGTACAAAACAAATCAGTTCGCTCTGTAAGACAACTTTCGCGGTAAGTAACATTAAAATTATTCCTGGCTACTAGGTTGAGAGAGAAAACTCCGTTACTCAGAATCCTACCAAAACACTCTGTTAAATTCTTCCTCGTTCTAGCATGGTGGTTACTGACACACTGAATGACAAGCCCAAAGTGTAGCAAGGCCCTGAAGTAACTTCCGGATCAAGTTCATTGTTAGTTTTTTTTTTTTTTTTTTTTTTTTTCGATAAGCGGGCCTCTCACTACCGTGACCTCTCCTGTTGCGGAGCACAGGCTCCGGATGCGCAGCCCCAGCGGCCATGGCTCACGGGCCCAGCCGCGGGGCATGTGGGATCTTCCCAGACTGGGGCACGAACCCATGCCCCCTGCATCGGCAGGCGGACTCCCAACCACTGCGCCACCAGGGAAGCCCATTGTTAGTTTTTTTAGTGCTGTAGACTCTCGCATGTCCAAATTTTTTGCAAAGTCTTTACTGCTGTTGGTTACATATGGTAATACTTAATAAAAGCTACAGTTCCAGATTCCAGACATGCTGGATAACCCAGAGTTAACTATAATGCAATTTAGGAAGACACTTAAAATAAAGACCAGATTCATTCATTCATTCGAGACATATTTATTAAACAACTACTATGTGCCAGGCATTGTTCTAGACGCTGGGACGCTGTTCTTTTCTGGTGCTTACATTTAAGAGTTGATTCTCTATCTTACGTATCTGGCTGTAGGTTATAGAGAAGTGTTCTTCTCTCTGGATAAATTACAGACACATTATCTTCATGCCTACGTAAGTGTTTACTAAGTTTGTATACAAGGTATTCTACACACACAGAGAGAAATTAAGTTAGCCCCCTCTCCTGTGGAAACTCATAATCAAAGAAAGATAGTCTGACTTGTACATGTGATAAAAGCAGGAGGACCACAGGATACCCATCTAGGTGAACAGAATTCAGACTCGCTTATGAATTGGGAGTGGGCCAGGGGAGTAGGACATAAGTGGAGGGAACAGGATGCAGAAAAGTCCTGAACTGAGACAAATGGGAAGTTGTCACCTTCTATTCTGCTGGGAACAGAGCACACTAGCGCCGAACAGGTGCTCTGATCCGGCCAGGAAAGAAACACACGCTGGATCAATCCACCAACCCCAGAGCACAGCCCATGACCCTCCACCAACAGGCATGCAGGCCTCCTACTTTGCCAGGTCAAGAGAGACACTCATCTGAACAGAAACAAAGGTGTGTGTGTAACTGACATGGAATTTTGCATCCTTGGTGGTTTACAGACGCTTCACCGAAGCTGACTAAAAACTACGAACAGAAACAGAACCCACATCTTCATCCTGAAAGTCTGGTTCTATGTGCTTATTAGCATAATCTCAATCGTTCCACCACACCCAACACCAAACATCAGACTTCTTCACCACGTTAAGATCTGTAGCAGACTGTTCATTCACTCACTCTAACAAACATCTGACCAGGTCTGTTTTTTGCTCTTCAGTGTGTACCTTACCCACAGGTAGTAAGACAAGCTGGCCATAACATTAGAGCAATTGGCTAAAAATATGATTATAACAAAGAAGGTTAGAAGGGAACTAACAGTTCCTGAACGCCTATCACGTGCCATGCACACTTATAAGGAATTCCATTTATCTTCACATTCTCCATGAAGCACGTATGACTTCATTTTACAGAAGAGAAAACTGAGGTTCACAGACAGAAAGTAATATGCTCATGGTTAAAGAGATACAAAAGCGCAACACAGACTCGACTCAGGTCTGCCTAATTCCCTGACATCTCAGTGTGACCAGCCAGAAGTCGAGAGGCTGAAAAAAGAAACCAAGCATGAAATTCAGTGACTTTCATCCACAGCGTAACGATTAAGGGCTTATTAGACTCTAATCACTTCCTAGGTTTGAGTCGTCTCTCTCCATTTTTGCATCCTTATTTGTACGAGTTGAAAGAATAAGCCTACCTCTTCGGGGTTGTAATGAGGACTTAATGAGTTAATATGTTTTGAACACTGCCTGGCACACAATAAGCACTACATAACTGTCTGTTACATAGATAAATAAAAAATAAAACCTTTGGAAAATGCTCTCATCCTTCCTGGAGAAATCTCTCCCTGAGTGATGCAAAGCTTTACCGTTTTATCCAAAGGGTCATGAGATCATTCTCCTCCAGGGGCTGCAGTCCCACAGTCAGCATGACTCACAGCCTGTCCCTGACACATCATTGGCTGGCGTGGACAGCAGGAGTCAGCCACCGGCTCTGCTCTTACACTGAATCTAAAGCACTGCCCCCTTCTCCAGAGCTCTGAAGATTGCCAGAGGACAGTCACACAGACGGGGGCAATGGTGCCACTCGGGGGCTGTATTCACTGTAAAGAAACCACTCCTCAGATAAATGATATCAATCTCCCCCATCTCCAGCCTCTTTGCCCAGAGCCTGAATTATCAGCCAAGGAGTCCACATGTAAAAATGGCATTTAACTCTTACCAGCAATTGTCATCAGCCAGACGCAGAGGCCCTGACCCTCCAGTTTGGGTTAACTCAGGCTTTCTCAACTTTGACACAATTGACACTTGGGACCAGATAATTCTTTGCCCTGGGGCGGGGGGTGGGGGAGGCAGGGGATGGGAGAGGCTGTCCTATGCATTTAAGGTGTTTGGCAGCATCCCTGGACTCCAGCCATTAAATGACAGTAGCAATCCCCCCATGTGACAATCAGAAATGCCTCCAGACTGCACCCCATTTGAGAACCACTGAATTAAGCACACTCCCCCAACGCTTGTCTTCCCCGCTGCCCTTCTGTGGAGATGTCCAGAGAGAATCCGGACAGAAGGGTTACGGGAGAGGGAATGAAGTGTAAGAACACAGTCACTAAACTGGCATTCTGTGTGACTTCCATGGTGGCACTGCTACAACTATGATGGGAACTACAATGAGGGAAGGTGGGAGCGGACAGCAGCCTAGCCCATGCTGCAGGTCTCTTAAGGGCTGGTAACCTTTTGCCCTTTTGTTAAAAGGTAACAGGACTACTGGACAGAGTCCCCAACCCACAATTTTTGGTGATAGTCACTGATGGCACACAGCTTAGGTAGAATACAAAGTTGTCACATCAGTGTTAAGAAGACATTCTTCCTTGATTCTTAAAATACAGTCCATCGGGCTTCCCTGGTGGCGCAGTGGTTGAGAGTCCGCCTGCCGATGCAGGGGACACGGGTTCGTGCCCCGGTCCGGGAAGATCCCACGTGCCGCGGAGCAGCTAGGCCCGTGAGCCACGGCCGCTGAGCCTGCGCGTCCGGAGCCTGTGCTCCACAACGGGAGAGGCCGCAACGGTGAGAGGCCCGGGTACCGCAAAAAAAAAAAAAAAGATACAGTCCATCAATAAATGTGACCCCCTATCTCTTGTTGATCCCCCCTACATAGATGGACCTTTTGTGACTGTGACATGGTACGAATAAAGGAATTCATGATGATGATAAGATGTTGATGGTCACCGTCACCACTACTGCCCCAATACTACCACTGCTGCTACTATCGCTAAGGTTGCTACTGCTGCTGCTACTACTATTGCTACTATTATTACTGCATTGTTGCCACTGCTACTAGTGCTGCCGCTGCTCCTCCAGCAGCACCACCAGCGTCACTATTTACTGAGCCCTATGTGTCAGCTACTGTCCTAAGCACTTTCCGTGGATTAACTCACTTGATCCTGCCAAGACAATATGAGAAACGTGTTGTCATTCCCATCTCCATTTCACAAATGGGTAAACCACAGTACCCAGAGGTTAACTAGTTTGTCCCACGCGTCTGCAGATCCAGTGTCCAAACCCAGATAATCGGGTTCCAGACCCAACAGCTCTTACCCTCTATGCTACAATGCCTCTTGAGGACCACTACGGACCTGCCGGCCAGCAAGCATCTCTGACCTGCTACTTCTGAACACACTTAGCAGGGATTAACTCCTGAGCTTCTGCCACGTGTTTCTGTTAAACCATATCCCAGCCACCCTCAAGACTCGTGATACCACTGTGCCGTGAGCAGCTCCAACACTACAACGTAATGAAGAACTTATCTTTCTATATCGTCTCCCTTAAAATGAAAATGGAATATAAGACTATCAAAACCTTAGCCTCTCTAGACACTCTACCTGAGTAGGCATGGTTTCTCTCCTAATATGGGGGAAAAAAAAAGTTCATTTTCAACTCAAGCAGCTATTTGAGTCACAATTTCAAGGCAGTCCAACACAAGATAAAAGATACTGTGTCAATAAAACACACAAGGGCAAAGATGATCCCAAGCCCATCTTTGTATCCTTACCAACTGGCACAGTGCCTGACACAGTAATCAGTAAGTGTGTGTTACCTAAATGAATAAGTGAGTGAATGAATGAACCAACAACTAAATGAACTACATTTAGTCTTCCCACAAAGAAGGCTAAATAAACTATACCTTTCTAAGTGATGAAATTGTTTCTCACCTTTGTATTTCACAGCTAAACCTGCAAAAATTGTTAAGAGTTTTACTGCAATTTTAAACTAATACCAGAGTATTTTTGTATATTTTCATCTTAATGTTAACCCATATATTTGATAAGACTGAACACCCAAGAATAATTTCTATACAGTTTAATAAAGAAATGAAGATGAAAACATTCCTCCAAATTCTAGTATAATATTTTCATATTTATCATTGTGTTTTAAAGTTATTACAGCCATAAACTGTATCCTCAGCAGGATTACAATTCCCAATTACTAACAGGCTTTTAAAATTTTGT